AATTTTTACTTTTTTTGTAAAATAATTTATACTTTTAATATTAAAAGTAGGTAAATAGTTTCAATAAGTACACTTGTATTTGTGAGATAATAATATATAAAAAGGGTATTTGCGATGTTACAGGAATGACAATTTAATATGACAATTATTTCATTTTTTATTTTTATATTTTATTATAAAATGCTGGTTGCCAGTATCATAATTGTCATATTTATCGATTGATTCGATAATTATTACGTGTTTTTATGTTAAAATTATAATTTTTTATCAATAAAATCACCAATAATTTTTTGGTGCACTTATTTTTATTTTGTAAGTAAATTTCATTTTATTTTTCCAAAGTAGCGACATCTGTGAAGCCATAAGACCAACTATAAACAAATTATTTTTGGAAACAAGTTATGGATGGCGCCACCATCCATTAAATTTTTGTGGTTCAAGGCAACTGTCCTACGCCTGGTGTAATAGCGAGCTTGTCTAATTAGATTTTAAGACAGACCTAATTAAGACTGTCTTGATACTGCGTAGTGTAATAGGCTTTAATCTGATGTATTGGATGTGTCATAAAGCTTAACTCGTGTGTAATTAAACCATAGTGTGCTTTAAAATACCTATAGCGCCATCTACTACCTATTAGTAGTAGTAAACTTATTAGTTGATTACTAAAATATAAACTACAAGTAGCTGGTACCCGGCGCGTGGCAGCCGCAAAAGAAGTAGTTGTGGAAATATCGTTTTAAATTTGGAAAAGTTATGGATTCTACTTAATTTAATATGTCAATGAATCTATTATCAGAAATCGTCGTGTTAAGGTGAACGCTTATTTTTCAACACTGTACGTGCCGAATTTTAGAGTTCATTGTATGAAATCATATGAAATCTCGCACATTACACCCGCATCGTACGCGGCGTATTTTATAAAATGCGGTAGGTATCCGAATATTGAAGAAGGCGTGCTGATGTCGTCACATTATGTGACACGTTTGGCCTAATGTTGCCAACTTAGTGAATTTTCCGCTAAAACTGCTGGTTTCGACCAAAGAGAATATAGTCACTACGTTTAGTTTCGACTACTCTTCTAATAGAAAGATATTGTTTACAGTGCATTTTATTCTATTCATAATTTTATTAATTTAAGTGACATCTATTAATTAATTCAAAAATGACTAAATTAATGAATTTTTTATAAATATTAATTTTAATTTTATTAATTCTTTTAATTATATTGTGGACTATGTTATTGCGGCGTAGTAGTAAAAATAGAGGTTTTTTTCCGAACCAGTTGTAAAATTAAAAAATTACTTTCAATAAAAAATACATGTAATTTATATTGAATAAAAAATTATTCTATAATTTTTTAATTCTATTCTAAAGGAAAAGTAATCCTACCCTCAATATCAATCAATTTTTGGTATTTATATTTATTTTAAATTATAGGTATGCCGTGCAAGTTGTCCGGAGGTCCTGAGTGGCGTTTCATCGCCACATTTAACCCCATGAAGGAGTTTGTATATCCTGTGGACGACGGACACGTTGACACAGAGTTTGACAGGTTACATTTGACTTCCTCTATAATGTCTATAAAATAAAAATGTAAAGATGTCCTTACATTATTTACATTTTATTATTTTATACTATATTACTTAAATTTTATTTTTTTGTAATATACAACTGACGTGACGCTGACAGCAAGGTTGACGGGTGACAATTGACATTCATCTAATTTGACAGTTCCTCTAAGTATATAAATTAAAAACATAAGAAGTTCCCCCTTATCTAATTTACATTTTTCATGTTATACTATACTGTATCATCAAACTGTAATGACTAACGAAATTACAATTCACCTGGTGGCAAGAGGCAACTGCAGTCCATGGATACCTGTAGCCAATTTTAAACAAAAAGGCTTCAGATGCGTCCACATGTCTGAGGTCTATGATGAAATGTTTCACGGCCTGTAATTGTATTGACCTGGTCCCTAACCTTCAGACAGGAACACGGCAGGAACACTTCACGTGCTTGAAGCACTACTATTTGGAGGTAGTAATAGGTAAGAAGGTTGGGTACCACCTCCTTACCTATTCCTACCTAAATGGTCTAGGCAGGACGAGAGGAAGAGAGTTCTGGTAGAACAACTCTTGAACTGAAATAGTCCAACATAAAGCATTAAGTAGTATTAAAATTAATTATGAATCTGATTAGTCTCTCACTGCTGGTCGTAAGTGGTAGAGCCATGCTACAGCTATATCACTGGTATAGTTGTAGCACGAATGGGTCGCCTCGACCGGGGAAGGACCACGCTCTGACAGAATACCAGCGTAAAATATCAGCTTAATGCTGCTGTGTTTCGTATAGTGAGTGTAGAGAACCGGAGACCCTTTTTGCTGGAAAAAGAGGCGTTCCATCTTAGTCCTCACGGGTGACAACGCATCTGCATTTTGATTCGTAATCGAGGATAGATGTAGATGTCTATGGGCCGCAGCAACCGCTTACCATCAGGTGGACTGTGTGCTCGTTTGTCACCCTTATCCTAAAAAAATGAGGAAGCTCAAGGTCGCTCATGGAGCTATGGAGAGGGCTATGCTCCAGGTTTCTCTGTATGATAAACTTAAAAATGAGGATATCCGCAGTGGAATCGGAGTGAACTACATAGCCCAGCGGATTAGTAAGCTTAGGTGGCATTGGGCCTGCCTACCTGCCATATAGCTCGAAGAACCGACAACCGGTAGGTGAAGTATAGGGCGACCTCTCACTAAAAAGAGTGACGACCTAGTAAGACATTCAGGAAGTCGATGGATGCAGGTGGCGCAGGAGTGTGCTTTGTTCAGCATGGGGGAGGCCTATGTTCAGCAGTGTACTTGTGAAGGACTGTAATGATGATGATGATGAAAATTAATTATTGTTATGACGTTTGTGCAACATTGTATGTCAGGGGGTTCTCATGCTGGTCTACCTTTCCGGTGATCCTGGTATGGAATACGGGTACGCGACCCCGGCTCCCCGAGCTACTGTTATTCTCATACCTTTCCTGCCGAGATAACAGTATCCTTACACCTATGCTCCTACCCCCAAACTTCTTTTTCCTTTTCCCAAAATGGTAGCTTCCTCTACCAGCAATAGCATACCCAAAGAGGGTTGGTGTCAGGCAGGCGGCCGACTGTAAAACTTTTGCCAAATCCCATGCAGTAAATGAATAGTACGAGTTGTGGGACATATGACAGGGCTAGGGCGTACCCCGCAGGCGACGCGCAGGGGCAGCACCCGGCTCCTGTGGGAAGTGGGCAAGGGTTGTCGCACCTTACGGAGCGGGTGCGACGTAAGAGGCGAGCCCGGAGAGAGAAGAATGTCAGAGTGAGGTTTGCAAGCTGGAATATAGGTACGATGACTGGAAGAGGAAGAGAGTTAGCAGATGTTTTGAAACAACGAAGAGTGAATGTTGCCTGTTTGCAGGAAACAAAATGGAAGGGCAATAAAGCAAGAGAGATTGGGGAGGGATACAAGTTTTATTATTGTGGAAGTGATGGGAAGCGAAATGGAGTAGGAGTTGTGTTAGATAGTGGAATGAAAGAACGAGTGACAGATGTGAAAAGAGTAAATGACAGAATGATAGTTGTTAAATTAATGATTGAAAACAAAGTAGTAAATGTTGTAAGTGTGTATGCTCCGCAAACAGGCTGTGAAGAGAGTGTGAAAGAGAAGTTTTGGGAGGAATTTGATTGTATGATGATGGGAATACCTGAGCGTGAGGATGTTTATATGGGAGGAGATTTTAATGGACATGTAGGGAGAGTGAATGACGGGTATGAAAGAGTACACGGTGGATGGGGGTACGGAGTGCGGAACCGTGAGGGGGAAGTTCTTCTGCAAGCAGCATGTGCTTTCGACCTGGCTGTAGTAAACACGTGGTTCCAAAAACGAGATCAGCATCTTGTTACTTATAAAAGTGGCCACCACGCGACACAGATCGACTATCTTCTGATAAGACGGAACCAAATCAAGAGTGTAAAAAACTGCAAAGTGCTTCCAGGTGAAGACTTAGTATCCCAGCACCGAATTCTGCTGGCTGACATCTGCTTAACTGTTCGCCTCAACAAACATAAGGATCGTCCCCCACCCAAAATAAAGTGGCATTTGTTGCATAAGGAGGGGTATGCAAGTGAATTTAGAGAGATAGTTGTAAACAAGATGATAGAGATGGGTGATATGGAAGGAATGAGTGTGAATGAGTGCTGGAAGGAAATGGCTGATTGTATCCGAAGTGTGGCAAGGAAGGTGTTAGGAGAAACAAAAGGGAAGCGTATGATAGATAAGGATGGGTAGTGGTGGAGTGAAAGTATTAGAGAAGTTTTGAGAGAAAAGAAAAATGCCTTTAAAGAATGGCAGAGCGTAGAAGACCAGAATGAATCCATAAAAGAAAGTAAGAGAGGGGCGTATAAAGAATGTAAGAAGAGAGCGAAGAAGAAAGTTGCTATTTGTAGGGCAGAGGCGCACGATAAATTATATCGGTCCCTTGAAAGCCCCGAAGGTCAAAAACGACTTTTTCAAATTGCAAGAGCGAGAGAAAGGAATGGAAGAGATGTTTCACATGTAAAATGTATAAAAGATGATTCTGGAAGGATTTTGACTGACGATGAAAGTATAAAGAAGCGATGGAAGGAGTATTTTGAGAAATTGATGAATGAGGAGAATGAATGGAATGGTATGCTTGAAAACCCACCAGTGAATATGGGCTTAGTGAGAGAAATTAGTGTGGAAGAAGTAAAAATGGCTGTTAGGAATATGAAGAATGGGAAGGCGGTCGGCCCAGATGGGATACCAGTAGAAGTGTGGAAGTTGCTGAGGGCGGATGGATGGAAGTGGTTGAGTTTATTCTTCGGTAAATTGTTGCAGGAAGAACAAATACCGGAGGAATGGTGCAGTAGTATACTGTAACGGTAAAAACAAAGGAGACTTTCAAAACTGCAGCAGTTACCGGGGAATAAGTGATCATGTCACATACGATGAAAGTCTGGGAAAGAATAATAGAGAGAAGAATGAGAGAAGAGTGTGAGATAACACAAAACCAGTTCGGATTCATGCCCGGTCGAGGTACGACAGATGCCATTTTCGCATTACGCCAATTGTGCGAAAAGTACAAGCGCGTGCATAAAGATCTGCACATGGTTTTTGTCGACCTTGAAAAGGCGTACGATCGGGTTCCCCGTGAGGTCTTGTGGTGGGCGTTAAAGATGAAAGGTATGCCTGGGAAATATGTGAGGTTGGTCCGTGCTATGTACAGAGCATCCCGTACATGTGTACGATCTGCCGCGGGAACTACGGGCAGTATCGATGTGGCGGTAGGGCTGCACCAAGGGTCGGCACTGAGCCCTTACCTCTTCCTACTGATTATGGACGCTTTGACGTCGGACCTGCAGGATGAGGCACCCTGGTGCATGCTCTTTGCCGATGACATCGTGCTTGTCGGGGAAGAAGGCATCGAGGTACAGAGCAGACTGACGGGGTGGCAACGGAGGCTGGAAAGTGTTGGCCTGAAGATCAGCAGATACAAAACCGAATATCTGTGCTGTGATTTCGGCGGTCTTTCCAGTCCTGTACCCATGTCGTTGGATGGCGCTATACTGCCTATCTGCTCAGATGTCAAGTACCTCGGTTCCCTCATTCAAGGCGACGGCGGAATAGATAGAGCTGTGCAGCATAGGATTAACGCAGGGTGGATGAAATGGCGACAGGTCACAGCCACAACGTGCGATCCCCGAATGCCAATAAGGCTGAAGGGGAAAATTTACAAATCGATCATCCGACCTGTCGTCATGTATGGAAGTGAATGCTGGGCCGTCAAGAAGAAGGATGAAAATAGACTGCATGCGAATGAAATGAGAATGTTACGATGGATGTGTGGTGTGACAAGGATGGATAAGATAAGGAATGAGTATATAAGAGGAAGCCTGAAAGTAGCGCCAGTGGTAGAAAAGGTGAGAGGAAGCAGATTGGCATGGTTTGGGCATGTGATGCGGAGGAATGAAAGTCATGTCACAAAACGAGTGTTGAATATGAATGTGGAGGGACACACGGGCAGAGGAAGGCCGAATAAAAGATGGATCGATTGTGTGAAGAGTGATATGAGAATGAAAGGAGTAAGTATGGAAATGACGGCTGATAGAGAGGAATGGAACAAAAAGATTTACTGCGCCGACCCCAGATAATGGGAAATGGTTTAGAGAATGAATGATGTTTGTGCAACATTGGCATTTGGTCTCAGTCGAAGCACAAGGATTTGTAAAATATTTGTTTAGCATTCTGGATATTTTAAGAACTCGTTGGTAATTTTTTCATATTTATTTCTTTTTCAACAACTTTACTTTTTGTTACATTCATCAGTTAAGAAGATAGTACCTGAGAGAGATACTAGCAAAATACCAAATTCTTTATGCCAAATTAAAATTTTACGGTACTTTATTCTTACCATAGATTATATTAGAATAGAATATTTTAATCAATATAATGTAATATGAATATTATTATTCAAAGTGATTTACGCTTTCATCACTGACTCCTCCAGCAAGAAAATCTAGTGGGTGGAACTTTTTAAAGCTTAGTCGATACAAATGTACTCCTCAGTTTTCTCCCTAGATTGTATGCTTGAGTAAATATTTTTTATGGTACAATCTATGTTTACCGCTGCCATAGGAACAACCTATGATTATTTTTTAGTAAATTAATTATTTTAAAATCTAGGTATCATAGAATTATTACCCAGTAGAAACGCAGTCTAGTACAAAACACGAGCGTTAAAGTGACGCAAGGTAATTATGTTAGTGTGCGCGAGTCGAATGTGCCTACGCTCATCATACGCAAACAAACACGGTATTCAGTGATACCAGTTTCTGGCGTTTACAATCAAATTGTGCAAATCGCAATTTTATTGATTAATATTAATTAATCGATAAAATAAAGATTGTCTAAAACTTTTACTTGGTCAATGAACAACGCAATTTACGCAATAAAACAGTTAGCGTTAAAATGGCGTTAATAGATCGTTTAAAATAGGCACCCATGAGGCACCAATTGCTAATATTATGATAATACTTAGATAAGTAGGTATCTACATTTAAACGTTTGAGTTTAACACAGAGCGTTGCGATTTAACGTTTCAAATAAATAACAGATATTATAGATTTTTGAATGAAAATTGTGCAATTTTTTTCCTCACAACTAGCAACATTTGTATCATGATAGCTTGGATAAGTATTTTTTGGTGTTACGAGTGATTTACATAATAATAATGAATGAAGGTGGAAGCGCCAGGGTAGCCCACGAAAAACAAATTTTTTTACGTTTTTTGGAATTTGCAGGTTAGTGTCAGGTTGTATGTTTAATAAAATATGATTTGCAACCGTGACGAGTATGTATTTACTACTAATCATTATAATCACAACCCCCTAAGTTCGTATAATCCTATTGTATAAAGCTATTTCCAGAAAAACTCATTCAAGGGATTTATATGAACTTGGAGGGTTGTAATATGATAATAATTCTGTAAACGCATACTCGTTACGGTCGCGAATCATATTTTGTTAAACATTCAATCTGATCCTGACCTGCAAAGTCCAAAAAACGTAAGAAAATTTGAATTTCGCGGGCCACCCTAGAGTTTTCACCTTAAATATGTGATATTATCTTTGAAATGTAATACCATCACATTTGTCATCACTGTTGTGACAATATTATTTAATAAAAATATATAAGTAATTTTTACAATTAACCGCGAGCACTTCTCCGTAAGTTGCGCACTGACGCATCGCTGAGTGAAATTACGCTGCGCTTCACTTCAATTTCGGTGCGCGTACTAGTATTCTATACGTAATAATTCTATGCTAGGTATCTTCCAAAATTACTAAAACTGACCAGTTGTATCATATATATTACATTTTACACATTAAATCATTATATATCCTACAAACAAATTTAACGAACTTGTAAAATAAAAGAAAAACATACAGACAGCTATATCCTTATTACGTTCTTGAAAAAAATAATTAAATCGGTCCTTCTACATGAGCAATCAATGAGCGTCACGATTTCGCTATTTTGTCAAAGGCAGAGATTTAAATATATAGGTAGTCAAATGTGTAATCTTGTTTGGGACTAGGTAGAGCGGGCCAGCAATAGATCGTTAAAAACCTATTCTAAAAATTTATTCCATAAGGTGTAACCGCTTAAAACAAAACCAATAGCAATACTAGTTAGGTGTGTGTTACGGCCCTCAGTTGCCCCGACAGAAGTCGACTGGGCTAGGGCCCATAGTAGCACACTCGACGAGCAACAGAGGGTTCGGGCTCCAATGGCCTATGGATAATTAACTAATGGCTGATAAGCAACACAAACTTACCGAGTTCCGGAGGTAGGGTTGACCACAGGGTATCAATCAGGTGGTAAGTAAGGTGTATGTAAGTAGTGTGCGAAAGTGTGTATAAATGTAACCTGACGTCACCGATGTAATCGGACAGCAGATCCACAGGCGCTGCCTTTCTCCAAAATGTGCGATCCCTCCAGTGGGCGTTCACCAATTGAAACCTTCTGCTTTAATTTCACTCTATTAGTTTATCAACTTTATTGTACATTTAATTAACTTCAAATTTAACTAAATCAACGTTAATCGAAATTAAAACATATGACACGCTGCACAACTTAAGAACGGTCGGTCAAAGTTCAATGTCCCAGGTTCACTTGGCACCAAATTATCATAAGGCCACCCTAGACATTCCCGACGTTTCAAGCACTTTACAGCACCCATGGTCACGGGGGGACTGAGGTGTATGACGTCCCAATGTCATAGTTAACCACGGCTACCTCCAGATTAAAAATTATTAATTTTTGTTCCGATCTACGCAGTATGAACTTACAGTATCATGAAGTCTTGCAGTTGTATGCTTGGGTTGGGATTTAATTTTATTAATTATGGGATCCCAAGCAGATGGTAGCACCCAGCCATCTTCTCTATTGAAATTAGGATGTTTTTTGATTTCAATAGCCTCGCGAATTATCCTTGGAAGGAATCGGTGTTCTTTAGCGAGGATTTGTGGTCTATCAAATCTAATGTAGTGACGGGGGCGATCCTGTACATGTTCACAGACTGCAGACTTCCCGGAGCGTCTATTCTTCACATCAGCTATGTGTTCTTTAACGCGGGTTTTTATGGATCTTTTAGTTTGTCCTATATAAGAGAGACCACATTCACAATCCAGCTTGTACACTCCTGCATCTTGCAGAGGAATATTACACTTGACTGATGGTAAAATCTTTAAATATGTTAATATTTGGCCTAAACAGTGTGGCAATTTTAATTGTTGCTTAATCTTTTCAAAAGGAAGAACTTATAATGATTCTATGCGAATTTCGTACTAATATTATATGTGTAATAAATACTAATAATGGGTCAACTCCTTTGTTATACCGCAAAATACCTACAAGGCTGTCTCGACGTCAAGTTGCTAAAAATATGCAAGGGTTGTCCAAAAACATTTCCTTAAATAATAATATCATAACATTATCTTTTATCAGTATTCCTCGTAGTATTTTATTTTCTATACAAAGATACAAACGAATTACTACTTTACAAAATTAGTTGCGTTTAGCAGCTTCACCTGATTCGTCGTGATGGAAACAAAAGCTTGTGCTGATAGATACCTACCTAATTATATAACTTTATTTTACCTATATAGCAATATCTCAGGTATTCCGCTTAAAATATTTGATAGAAGATTGAACAGATTAAATAAAACATGTTAAAATTATACGTTGACTCTGTTTATTCGACCACCTCGTTACAGGTTAAACCGACAAATATTTAAGACCTTTATTATTGGGTTTTTTAATTCTATTTTGTTTAATTTAATGATATAATGAATTCTCATACTTACACATAAAAATAGTTATGAGAGCAATCACATCTTTCGCAATATTTCAAAATAATATCGAGTAATATCATATTGCTGGGTGAATATCAAAAGCGTGCAACTGATTCCATGTACGTGACACTCCTAAACGGGTGTACCGGTATGCAAGCAAAACCGACCGGTACTACCGCAAACTTCGCAGGCAATGGAGAGACTCCACTCTCCTTCATACTCTGCGACTAAACGGAACAACGAAGGGCCATCGTTGCTCCGTCTAGTCTCTAAGTTGACTCACTATTTGTATTTATTACATATATGCTCATATATTGTTTCCTTTTCAGATTTAAGGCTGAACACAACAGACAATACGCCAGTGATGTGGAGCACGCTAAACGCTTGAACATCTTCAGACAGAATCTACGGTAAGGACAACATCATCGTTTCAGTTTTAAATATAGCATATTTGGAATATTTCATAGACAAAGAGAATGAAATGTGCGTTAGCCTCACAAAGTGACCATTCTCCAGAAAGGAACAAAGCGACTGTGCGACCAATACCTGTCTTTTTTTCTGCAAGCCTGATTGGTATACGCCCTGCGAGCCAGTAACGTGGACCAATCAGATTTCTAGAAAGAGACTACTAATGACCGTACATTCGCTTTGTCTCTCTCGCACTTTTCGGTCTGTATTCGTTGCACAACTGAACTCGGAACGCACAGTCCATTCTCTCTATGTCTATGGAATATTTAGCAAATAAATCAACTACAGTACCATGGTATTCATTAGTATTATTTTATTGTATTATGCTAAACGTGTGCTAATAGTTTTTGATGTATTTCCACACACGCATTATAATTACGTTATTAAAATCAAGACGACTCCGTGGCGCAGTGGCTTAGCAAAGAGTTGCAGCACTAAGGCCCGCGGGTTCAAATCCCACACGGAACAAGTATTTGTATGGCCTACAAATTTTTTGGATGTTTTTCCTTGTGAAATTTATGTATGTAAACTAAAGCCCCCACGATACAAAAGAAAATCCCAGTGTGGTGGTAACGCTTAAAAAAAAAAGAAAAAATCGCTAATTATCATTGCGGAAGTCTTTAGCGCAGGCTCCTTATTTAGCTTACTTGGAGTCATTTTCAGAAGTTGAGTTCAGTATCGTGTATTCGAATAAATGATTTCTTAGACGTCCGTGCATGAAAGATAGAACCTATCTTTTCATTTTATAAAAAACATCGAGAATGATCACTATCGGGTATTATATGGTATTAATTACCATACAGACAGTATTAATTACCATCAGGTGGACTATGGTATGGTGGTTGTGGGGTGGATCTTCTTTAATCTTCTCGTTTGGCATATGCTTTAACGCGTACCAGTAGTCTCGCATCTTGACGTTGCTGCCCGTGGCTCCCTATTTATCGCTATCGGAAGCCTTTTGATTTATCTGGCATTTCCCATAGACACCCACGCGATGATATGGGGTGATGGATTTTCTTAATAACACATACATATTATGTGAATTTTATAAGAACAGACATAATATGTCGCCACAACATAATCACCAGCTCCCAATTACTTTATCATCTGTTATACAGGGTTAATTTTCAAAAAATAGCTAAATTTTAATCTTTAGTTCAAATATATAAATAATGATATACCGTTATTGCAATTTTTGAAAATACGAATAATGAGGCTTCTACTTTTATTTCAAACTATCCCAAATTGAATGTGATTTATGGGCAACAACCACTCGCTTCTTTGTGTGCGATTCAATTCACAAGGTTTTTGCCGACCGATCGAGCCTTACGAATGAGTGCATGCGTAGTAAAATAGTGGGTGTTAGATATTTATGAATGACAATCAGGTAAAACAATGCATTACCACGCATTTTGAATTTAGATTTCCCATCTATGTTTTACTTCACCGCTGAGCACATGGTTTAAATTATTATAAATACATGATAGCCCACATATTATAATTCAGTTATTTATTGTTATTACAATACCAGATTCATTAACTCTAATAATCGCGCGCGGCGTGGCTTTACTTTGTCTGTGAACCACCTGGCTGATCGCACCGACGACGAGCTGGCGGCTTTACGGGGACTAAGATACAATGGATCCATACCTATGGGTGAGTAAAAAAGCCAGGGGGTGTTTTAATATCCCAGTGGCTCTCAAGTAGTAGTTCCTAAATCAATAAAAAATATCACTATCACTATTACTACAGCTCCACTGTTGAACATAGGCCTCCCCTATAATTTGTCACAAAATACGGCCTTGAGTCAGGTGCATCCATTCATTGGTTCCTACTAGTACCTAAGAGTAGAAGCTAATTACGGTGACGTAACATACCGCTTGTTGGTTGTGCCACCCGGAGCCACTAGAGTCAAAACTGACGCTACCCAACCTTTTCGTAAATACATTAAGTTAACAACTAGTTCTATTGTCAATTAGTGTTGAAAAGACTATTAGATCTAATGAAGAGTACTATCACTGTTACAAAGTGCGGGGGGGGGGGTTCACCAAACACAGCGCTTACCTGTACTAGGCTGCCACGCAAGAACCTTTGTTTCCAAGAAAAAACTGCGGTACTGCTTGCCAAGCGTGGCAACTACGATATGTATCCCTTCTACGCAAAAAAAGTACATAATGAATCTTCTTAGTGTTCATCGGTCAGTAAAGGTCCTATGCTGGACATGGGTCTCTCTCGTTGTTGGGTTGATTTTTCTTATAGAAGTTTGGGCAAAATGATGTCTTCCCCGTTCTTCAAAGTAAGTTTTGGAGAACAATTTGCCTTCCCTTGCAAGTGATCGCGAAACTGAACGTCAATCGATATGTCGACGTCCAGGATTTTCAAGCTATCTGAGACAACGAGGGGTGGCCTGAAATTGAGGACATATGACAAAGGGGTTCTTTTTAGCGGTAAACATGCAAACCTTTCTTCGGAGTTTAAGCTGGACTAGACTTACGCGTCCGCAATCCAAGAATTTGTTTAACAAAGACTCGACGCTAGGACTAGACACGCCAGTTAGGGTTTACCTTAACTGTCACGTTGTGCAGGCGGATCGACGATCGCAGTACCAGCCGTAAGCGTCTATGATGCTGCTGACCGTCGCCGGTTTTTTTACGTCTGGCGTAAACGAGATAGATACACCGGCCTTTGTCGCAAGCTATAAGACCTTTTTATAAGGGTGACACATGTGCACACGATCCACCTGATGGTAATGGATGCTGTGGCACAAAGATATTATACACTTGTCCTCGACTAAGAATCAAAACGCAGATGCGTTGCCACCCCTGAGTACTAAGATGGAATGCACATACACCATACCCTCACCATACGAAACACAGCAGCTTTAAGCTGCTATCGTGCACCGGTATTCTGTGAGAGCGTGATCCTACCCCGTCTGGCCGACCCATTTATGCTACAACCATTACATAGCAGCGTGGCTCTACCACGTATAGAATCAATCAATTACTTTTCCTTTATTTTAAACACTTTTAACTAGATGTAACAAAAGGCTGTTTAATGTTGCATTCTCTACCTTGGAGACTTTCCTAAAGAAATCGAATTTAAAAACATGTTTGCAAGTTTTAAACAGTCTTATAAAACTACTTTTAGGTCTACCCTTCCCGTACGGAGAATCCGAGTTGAAAGAGATGCAAATGATACTGCCTCCCGAAATTGACTGGAGACTGGTCGGTGCTGTCTCACCAGTGAAAGGTAAAACAATAGAAAATCGTGTTTTACCACATATTTTGAAGAATATGTTTTTATAACAACCCCATTATAATGGATTTCCGCAAAGTAATGCCTGATTCTATTAATGATGAATATGTTTTTTCCTGCAGTCTGGAAAGATTATACCAATCAAACATTGACGTGATGATCATCCAGAATTCTTCCCTTGTTTTCACCTTCAAAAGTGGATCATATTTATTTATTTGCTTCGTGAACAATTTAGGAAGAATTGTGTGAATCAATTCAATTAAAAATCATGAATTGTTGTGAAATCATTCGGACATGTCTATGTCTGATATATGATTTTCTTTTATTGTTTATGTTCGTTTAATTTGTTTGCGGGATGTCAATAACGACAGTATAACCGGTAGCGAAGCCTCCGTAGAAGCCGAGAAACCGGGCTTGCCCTATCAAACTGCTCAATCAATAATATCAACTAATAAAATAACTTGTAAACTGTTTCAAACTATTTCAAATATCCCGCGCGCTCCTCTGTTCTACACAGGTCATGACCGCTTAGCGTTATTATTTAACGTCAACACTTGGCAAATTGCTTTCAATTCGAAATACACTGATTCGTGTTCTGTCTGTCTCAAAGCGAACATGACGTGTTCGCTTTGGAAAAAATACGTCGGTCGCGGTACAAGTGCGCGATACTGCTGTCATAAAAAAGGAGTTGAGTTGGCCGATTAGTCGTCTCTCTCGCACGCGTGGGCTTTTTACTGGGCTTTCGAGAAGACGATCGCTCTCTTTCTAACCTATGGCAAAATGTTCTATAGTGAAATATAACTACGATTATTTATATAGCAATTAGTATGGAGCCATGAGCTGGGCTTTCAGTGTGAAGTTAGTCGTGTGCGAGGACGCGCGGGCGATACGTTTGCAACTTCATTTTACATTTCAATGTATACTCTGTGTGTTTACTTGAAAATTTATGCTATTTTAAAGATTTTTAGTGAAAATGGAGGATAATAGTGTTCTTTGTGATGAATTAAAGTACTAATCGGCGAGGAAAAGGTAAAACCTTTAAACTTTGTTGAGAAAAAACAGCTCATATCCACATAAACAGTTATTGGTATAATTAAAACGTTCACCAACATCTTATGCGGACGGAATCAAATATTTCCTTAAGAAAGAGAGACGATTCGATTTAGAATATAGATAATTTGTTTTTTGATTTTGTAAATAGTTTTTTTGTACTTTGTCCATGCATTTCTTTTGTTCATGTCTTGTATTGTATGTAAATATCTTTTTCTTTCGCTCAAGCAAACCCAAACGGCTTTTTTCAAAGCCACCGAAGGTATGCAATTGCTGATATATCATACAATCTATTTAGCAGTAGTATGCCTTCTGTGTGCTTCGTTAAACACGTCCTCGACAGCAATGAATATGAAACAGAAGAGTGGAGACAGATCAAGATTGGTGTATTTTTATAAAACTGCTAAAAACAACAAAACTATATCTAGGGCTTGCCTAAATTTGGAGCCCTCGTTTCGCCACTGAGTATATATAACTATGCAGTGTTTAGTAATTTTAGGTCAGATGTTGTTTTTTTTTAAATATAAATAAATTGCTTCATAAAAATCAATTTAATTTTTCAAAGGGGTCGCTCGACATCTGACGCCGGAGTTGAGCTTATTAAACTTATTTTTTTTGCATGGGAGAATTCAGGGGATACTTTGGGTATATTTTGTGACCTGTCTAAGGGTGCGTACAGATTAAGTAACATGTTGTGTGACTTGTGTTTTATAACAGGTCCACATAATGTGACATTGTTTTTCAACATTGCAACATATAACAATACTGTACACATTAGAAAAACAATACAAAATAACAATGTTATATGACATTGTCGTATGACATTGTCGTTTGTCGTTGCCCCGCGCGACGCCTCCGTCGCATCTTGAATTAAATAACATTTGTGTCACGTTATATAACACCTTTTATAACATTCAGGCTCAACATTACTCAAACATGTTATATAATAACTTATTATAACCTATTATAGCATGTTATATTAATAATGTGTACGCACCGTAAGGCCTTCGACTGTGTTCGCCATGAGACATTAATCAGTAAGCTACAGTTAGCCTAGTGTGAAATAACCGGAACTGGCTAGCTTAAGAAATTTTGTTGATATACTAGTATATCAACAAACCATATATATATCAACATACCATTCGAAAGTATATCAACATACCATTCGAGAGCACTGTCAGATGTTAAATCCATTAAAATAGAATTTATCTCGGTAGGATCAGTTTCTTGAAGCACAAAAGAGGATACTTGTGGGCTTATGTTGTACGTATCCTCTGTATTATGTACAATGTTTCAATCTAAAATAATTTTCTCAGCTAATGTTTGTCCAATAGAAGCAAAATAGTTATCAACGGTATTAACTGAATCATATGGTGAAGACTTTATTTTTAATAATCCTAAACTTTACGAGTTGTTTTGTTTTCGATATGTTACTGTATTAATTGTTTCTATAAAGTTTTAGGATTTTGCTAGCAACTGCCAATTGAACTTAATTATATTTACGTTTAAGTTTTTTAATAAGATTATTACAGTAGTCTCTGTACCTCTTATACGTTATTTTTAGTACTTTATTATCAGGGCCTGATTTTAGTTTCTTTTTTTTTGCATATTGTTTCTATATCTAATGCATCTCAATACACCTAATGTTATCCAGGCTTTATGGTACGATTTTTTCGCGGAATTAAGGTTATTACGGTACTTTTTACTAAGCAGTCTCTTATTTTATTTATCAAAATATTCAGCCATAGAACGAGGATCGTTATATGAAGTTAGACCTAAGACATTTTTAGTATTTAGCAGATTAAATACATGCTCGAAGTCAATAGTTGACTTGATTTTAAGATTGCTCTCCACATCTGCTACTTGCGATAGATTAAGAAAAATCATCTGATGATCTGTTATAGTAGTATTTGAAAACGACACACACGAGGCAGTTAGGTTTGCTTTTGTCTAATTTTATAAAGAAATGGTCTAAGCATGTTAGCAGTGCATGTCTTGGAAGCATTCCACGCACTGTTAAGGCTCTAAGAGCGGATGAAATGAATAAATTCTTGGATGTATAAGTAAAAAAATCACAATAACTCTTCATTTAAAAATACAAGGTGACAGAAGAGGTTTCAATAAACGTTTTCAACTGAGTAAAATTGTATTTTGTAAATTGTATCTTTGTCATATTTTGCAAAATTTCTCTAAAACGGCACTAGCTTTTTAAATAGTTTTTACACTAAAATAAGGTCTTAAAAATAATTATTATTTTAATTGAGAGTTTTATTTATATTCCCAGTTTACTCAAGAAAATATCATTTTTCTCCGGAATTGAATATATTCGCGCTAGCGTGCCTGCTCCGTCGCCCTGTAATCCATTGAATATCATTATTACCAGGAGAACGATATATTCTAAAAATGACCATATTACTATAACGATATATGCCAAGAATGACTATATCATCAATATATAGTCATTCTTGGCATATATCGTTATAGTAACTAAATGACTACAACAATTTGTAAACATGATGCATCCCAAAGTTTTACCTCCGCTACATAATTATTAATTTGGAGGATTGGTTTTATAGTTTTTTTTTAAATTTAATTTAATTAAGTTTACACTACAGATACGAGGTCCGTACCTTTTTTCGCTGTAGTTTTCTTTGTTACTATTTTATTTTTACACTGTACTCCTTACACTACTAGTATTAGTAAATTTACTTAAGCCTAAGCAGTGAGTTCACATTTTTTTTGTTTGTTAGTTATTTTTCCCTTTTTTATTATTATGTATATATATTATGATTCCTTTATTTCGTTATTATTATTCTACTTAATTTTTTTAATTATTATTACAATTACGCCATTATTTCTAGTGTACACTTTTTAAGTTTTTTTTATATTAGTATTACTTTTAACTTAAGATCTAGTACCTAACATGATATGTTCACTTATCATACTATATTGTTGTAATATTTTTTGTGACTGTTGTTGTCGTCGTGTAGAGTGCTCCGTCTTCAGCTGTGTTAATTCGCCGTTGTCAGGGCCTCTACGATAGCTGCATCTCTGTTTCTTATTGCCATTTTTAAGTAGTATTCTTTAATTATTTTTGTTGTCGCAGCCATTGCGCTCTCAATCAACCTTCCAGTCGGTCGCATCATCGCAATCATCCGTGTAATATACACAGGACTCTATGTGCCTGGACTCTGCCACTACTGCGTGTTGGACGCTGTCATAAATTTTGAGCTTCTCTGTCGCTGTCCCAATTGTGGCCACTCTCCCTTATGTGAGGCCTTGGGCCTCATGTACGGTTATAATTCGCGACCCAGGACCCGAATCATATCCCTGGCTGGTAAGGGTCTCCTTTTCTGCTTGCGCATATACAAGATATAAGGTGTTGGGCAGGGTACCTGGTATGACGACTCCCGTGTACCTCTTCCTTTCTAGTGAGTGCACCTGAGATCTGGATGAATATATGCCATTGTAGATTTCACTGAGGGCATATGCCACATCCATCGGATTCTGGTGCGTGCACAGGAGTTCCTGGCTGATTGTGGTCAAGAGGCTTGGGCGAGTATATTGCATCGCAAAGAGGTTTTCCCTGTCGATGTACGGAGGTTGATTGATGTCACCGATGAGCAGTATTTTTTCCGCTCCACTCAGTCGCATTGCCATTACTATGGCCCCGAAATGATTCATGAGAGCTTCGTGGTTGGTTGCTCAATGGTTTTCTAGAGTTTAGTCTACATTAGGTGAGTACCATAATATCAACATTAAAATCAAAGTAAGTCAAGTTAGGTATTAGCTCATCAATATTAGAATAAATGCTTCTCACATTTTGCGAAATAATCGTGAAGTCGGTATTTTGAATTTGAAAATATTGCGAGAAATCTTCAATTTTATATTCATATGCATGTACTGTATCCAGTACATCTATTTCATTTAGTGTATTAATCGTC